TGAGGTCACACCCTGGGCGCCGCGGGCCGCACGGGGCTGGGGCCGGGCTGCGGGGCTGTACGGGGCTCTCTATGCGGGCTCCGTGCCGGGCTCTGTGCGGCCCCGCACCGCCACCTGCCGTCCGGGCCCTGCCCAGGCTGCGCTGCCTTTCTCCCCCGTAGAGCGCCGGGACCGCCAGCAGCATCCCGAGAGGAGGAGTGCGGCCTTATCCCGAGTCTCACACCGGAGCTCTCGTTTCGTTCAGCTATTAAGCGTTATGCAACGTTTGTACAGTTTAATTACAAGTTTTTAAAAGGAGCCGAGCGCAACCTTTTCGTGGCAATAAAACATGACGAGGCATGAAAGACGGTTCCATACTTTCTGCTTAATAGCTTGTTAGGCATGAGGCTGGAGGCTGAAGAGCTAGTGACTAGGCAGCAAGGTGTGAATTATTGCACCATAATTCTCGCCCCGGAGTGCTTTATTGCAATTAATAACTGTTTTCATGTTTTTAAATACATTTTCTCACACCATAAAAAGCAGAAATGGAAAGTACTTGCTAATGGGAGAAATACCGGGAGAACTGGGCACAGCTCACCAACCAGAGCAATCTCTTTGGTTTCGTGCTATTCTGATCTGCTTTAAAATGGTTTTGAAGCTCTGAGACAGCATGGGCCCACAGCTCTGTTGCTTTCCTTTCTTGAAGGAGCTCTCCCTGCAAATGTCTCCACAGTGATTCAGAGCAGGGAAGCGACTGCCCTCTCTTTTCAGCGTTTCTTCACCTGAATAACCTCAGCCACACAAACCCACGCATTCAGTTCCTTGTAGTAGTCTGCCCACTTCTGAGAAGTATATCTCTATTTGGAAAGTAGAAATCAGGAGGGAGCAGTGGACTCAGGAAGGGCTCGTTGTCTTCTTTTTTCTTTTCTCTTTTTTTTGGGGAAGTGGGGGAGTAGCCCAGTTCTGTGGCAAATTCAAACCCGTTCCAATTCAGTTTAGGGTGAACCAAAAGCTGAAGAAAAGCAGATATCACAAAACAAACAAACAAACAACAACAACAACAAAAACAGCACTCACTGAGATCCCTAATGCAGATCCTGCTAAAGCTGTTAGGAGTGCAGCCCTTGCCCATACTGTGAGCTGAATCTGCCTCTCAGTGCTGAAATGCTGTCATAAAAATGCTACTGCCTGGAGCATCTCTCTTGTGAGAAAAGGCTGAGTGGCCTGGGGCTGCTCAGCCTGAAGGAGAGAAGACTAAGAGGGGGTCTCATCACTCTAAATGTCTAACATGTAGGAGTCAAATGGATGGGGCCAGACTCTTTTCAGAGGAGCTCAGCAACGTGACAAGGGCCAATGGACACAAACTGGAAGACAGGAAGTTTCATCTGAACATGAGAAAGAACTTCTTTGAAGATGACAGAGCACTGGAACAGGATGCCCAGGGAGATGGTGGAGCAGGAGTATCTCCCTCTCCAGAGATACTCAAGACCTGCTTTCCTGTGTGACCTGCTGTAGGGAACCCACTTTAGCAGGACCCAGTGCTCTCCAGAGGTCCCTTCCAACCCCTACAATTCTGTGCTGTGATACCTTTTTCCACTTGTTATTAAACAGTCCTGAGAGTGAAGCTTGGGGTCAGTCAATATAACCTGCTTTAATGTGTGTGTAATATAATACGCTGTATTAACATTGCTGAATAGATTGCAGCTTAATCAACCTGATGTCAAAAAAGTTTATATTTAGTATCTAATAGCAAATACAGGGACTGGGAATACAGGTAACAAGATGGAGAATTGATTGGTAGAACTTTCTTTTACGAAAGACTTAATGGGATTGTGAGATTAATGATGGGGGTTCTCTGGCTGGCTGTCACTGCTGTAAACACCCCAGGGGTTGGTAATGATAGCAAATGGAGGAGGCAGGTCAGGTGCCCTGGTAGTCTCTTTCTGGATGTTAGCAGACGTGTGTTTGGTCCATTACTCAATTTCTGGTCTGGACACAACACAAGGCTAATTGTAGTACCACAGAATGAGAAGAAATTGTGTTTTGTTCTGTCCACACTTAGTAAATCTGTGACAAGGTCTTGCCTCCCTTTCTGCCACATTCTGGAGCATAGGACGCACAGATGTGCGCAAGAACTTCTTTACGGTGAGGGTGATGGAGCACTGGAACAGGCTGCCCAGGGAGGTTGTGGAGTCTCCTCTGGAGATATTCAAGACCCGCCTGGATGCCTACTTGTGTGACCTGGTGTAGGGATCCTGCTTTGGCAGGGGGGTTGGACTCGATGATCTCTGGAGGTCCCTTCCAACCCCTACAATTCTGTGATTCTGTGATTCTGTGATTCACTATAGCTGCTGCCGTGGCTTTTCCTGCATCTTCTTGTTCTGTTAGGGTGCTTATTGCACCAGGGCTGTTTTATGAAGCAGGATTCATGCTGAGCAAGGTACAGGACAGACCCATAGCCCTGTCCTGAAGAGCCAGCAATGAAAGAGACAAAGGAAAAGTGAAGGGTAGAGCTGCCCTGCCAGTTAATGGAAGCTGTAACAGAAAGGAACAGGCAGTGTGTCCTCCTCCAGGCTGACAAACAGGGGTGGGTGGCAGCAATTTCTCCCCTCTTCCCTTCAGTGCTGGGAGCTGAGGACCTGCAAGCTAGTGATAAAACATTTCCAGTCAAAGGCACTCAGCTGCAAAACAAACAAGAACAAATACTGGGGATACGGCCAATTTGGGATGTGCTCCACAACTCCTCACTTGAAAAACAGCTTCCCTGCCACCACGAAGCAGGGAAAACAGGAGCAGTGCGGAGTGCTCTCCCTCCTGACAAGACAGGAAAACAGAGAGGCCATGGCCTCGATGGGAACCTCCTTCTGCAATGACAGCACTGGCCAAAGCCCTTGGAGAGAGGTGGTGGAGAGCAGTCTTGGCTCTCACAAGGCCTCAGGCAGGGACTGCCTCTGCGGAACCTCCACACTGGGCTGGGTGTCCTCCAGCACATGTATCATGGCTCCAGCACTCAGCAAAGCTGCTGAATGGAAACAAGTGGGACTGATATCAAAGTAAGAGAGTCACAGAACCACAGAACCATTAAAGTTGGCAAAGGTCTCTAAGATCACCCAGTCCAACCACCAGCCCACCCCCACCATGCCCACTGCCCACATCCCTCAGTGCCACATCCACACGGCTCCTGAACACCTCCAGGGATGGTGACTGCACCACCTCCCTGGGCAGCCTGTGCCACTGCCTTACTGCTCTGAGAAATGTTTCCTAATATCCAACCACATTTAATTAACCCCATTTTAGAACTAAAATACATGGGGTCAGGCCATTACAAAGTTCACTGTTCCAAAGCTTTGTAGTATTTATCCTAACGCTAGCCCTAGAGACTGAATTCCCCCATCTCTTTCCCTGTCGTCTTTAATAAGCACTGGCCATACATTAACAACGAGGTGATGTTACAGTTCAGAACACAGCAGGCTTTGTGCCTGTGCCCTTTTGTTTGTTGCTTCTAAAATCCATTTAATTCAATTGGATGTTGCTTTTAAAACAACGTGAGTCAACTGAATCTATTTTTAAGGAAGTCTGCCTGAAAAAAAAAAAATTAAATATTAATAATATCTGATTTTGAACGATTTGAAAAAAATCTTTAGTACACCTTGTTTTATTCTGCAATTGCCTTCGCTAGCTATTTTTGAAAGGCTCCGAGTTTATATAAATCCTCCTTGCTAAACGGGTGAAACAAACAAAATGTAAAACTCATCTCCATAAAGCACAACAGAATAATAATTTCCAGATGGGCTTTCTGATGGAAGATCAAAGTCCTTCATCTCAGACTTGGGAAATTTCCCTTCCACGCTGGTATCAGTTTTATCTGAATGCAGTCTGTCCCAACATTGGATTTTTTCAAAAAGACAATTAGCTAGATGGAGCTGTGGGAGACTGTGCTTAGTGCTGAAGAATATGGAAAAAGATTTTGCTAAAAAAAGCAAAAAATGTTGTGGGTAGGCAAAGGAAGGACGAATCTTTCTCACTTTGAGTTGTGCAATAACTAGACATTTCTATACACTCAAAAATGCCAGTTTCAAATGCAAATATTAAATAAGCAAAAGAGGGCTGTTTCTACATTGGTGCAACCGGTTTGGACAAACTCCCAGCTATGCATCTTTGATTTCAAACATCTCGAGGCTAGAAAATAATAGCTTAGTGGTTTTCCATATTTAAGTAAATGTTTTACACATCTATGCAGTTTCAGATTTTTCTTCCAAGAACCAGAAGTTTCTCCCGAAAGCCTGTATGCACTGGGCATCTGCATTTTCAGCTTAGCAGTTCCAGAGTTTGCGTAGGGGTTCCTGTTTCTGAAATTCAGCCACTGCTAATAGGTGCACCCATACCTCTAAGTTTTTCTGTTTGTTATACATAATAAGTACCAAAAAAAGATGTACAAAATACTTCTTCATTTAATCCAGGCTGAGATTTTCAAAAGACGGAGGAAGTCTAATTCCCCCAGTCCCATTCCTCCAATTAGGAATCTGCCTTCTGGAGAAGATGAGCTTCACTCCCTCTGTCTGTTGCTCCCACACTGGCACATTTCCATCTTGTTTTGCTCTCTCTACTTAGAAGCTTTCACAGAAGCACTCCCAGTACAGTATTTTTGTCTTCATGGTGCCATGCAGGACGTGTCTTTCTGGCAAAAATGACTGTGACTTCACAGCTTGAAATACTAATGGAGCTCAGTAATGAGCAGGTTTTTCACCCGGCAAATCCTTTTCCCTGACCACTTTTCCCAAAGACATGAAACAGTAGAAAGCTTTGCAAGAAAAAAATCAACCAGTCAAAACTCACAGATGTACAACTAGTATCTGAGGAAGCAATTCATCTGCAGGTCTCTTGGCAAAGGGGATTATGGATCCGAAAAGTAATTGCGTCACCACTTAAGTTTCCACATCCACCAGGTGGTTTGGTTCACATCTTGGATATTGCAAAGCTTTATCGTTCAAATCAGCCTATAGGTCTCTTTCTCATTGCAGACACAAGGCAAGTGCAGCCATCCCCACCATGGTCCTACGACCAGTCCTACCAGTACCTGGGCTCCATCGCGACTCCCTCGGTGCATCCTGCGACACCGATATCACCTGGCAGGGCCAGCGGCATGACGTCCCTCACCGCAGAGCTTTCCAGCCGCCTCTCAGGTGAGCCTCTGCAAATTGTTAGTACTGGGATGCCCATGCAGCAATCACTGTGTCCTCGGGTGCTGCTGCAGGTTTTCCTTGCTGCTGGTAAGCGTATTCTGAGCCTTCTGCAGAGAGCCATCTCAGCTGGTTGACTGGGATTTGTGCAAAGAGTGAGGAAATAAGGTTTGGGTCCCAGCATAATCTTCTCAAAAGAGAAAGAAACAGGAGAAAGTGGCTACTTTGAAGATGTCTGGAACTATAAAAAAAGTTGAGATAGCTTGTCATATCTGCCAAGAAATGAATGCCACAGATACTTTGGTTCTGTTTCCTTCCTTCTCTCAAAATTCAGACCAGAGCACAACAGATTATGGGTGGACATGCTGCAGGACGGTGTTTTTTGACATGTTAAGTGTTGCGCTATACTGCCTTGTTACATCTTTCTGAAATAGTACTGCAGGGCTTTAGAAGCCAGCATAAAAGTACAGCTTGAAAGTGAAAGCTACCCCCCTGGTTTGCTCAGCTGACCATCTGCTGACTCTAACCCCACATATTGAACCAATATGTGTGTGTTCAATAGCAGAAATTTTCCTAAAATGAATGAGAGACGTATAATCCAACCTTGCACATGGCTTTTTCAAGAAGTATATTCTTTGGCCATACATATTGCTCTCATTTGAATAATCGGGGCAAACTATTTCACTAAGGATTTTACTTTAAAAAATCATGTTTCTTGTCTAAACAAACAGCAGGTTGGAAGGTTTTTAGACATGGTGCTTCTAAAGACAAAGGATATCAGACATACTTGAAACACCTTGACATTAACTTCTGTTGTTCTGCTTTTTGCCAAACTAGGCAGAAGAAGCCCTCCTCTGATGAGTGATGTGTCTAGGCAGATTTAAGAAATTTGATTTCTTTCTCAGGAATGAGGTGTGGAAGCACCATTTAAAATCTGGCAGGTTGTCAGGTGTCACCTTTGGCCTTAGCCACCCTCAAGCTCCTAACGCTCCACACCATGGTCTGTCTTACTGTGTTAAATCTAAAGGTGCGGGTGTTTGGGGGAAGGAAATGTGTTCAAGGGTCCCACTGATCTTCCAGAAGTCAAAAAGACAGAAGACAAACTGAAAAAGGAAGCATACCACATGCGTCAGAGCTTTTCTAAGAAATTCATATAAATTCATCAAAGAGTGCTGGCTGTGCAGTTGACGAGCTTTCAGAGCTTGGCGCTGGAGTGTGTCTGCTCTAGCTTTAAAATTGGCCAGAGCCAAGAGCTTTGTTTTCCCTCTGCTTCTTCTCATGAGTATTTCCTTCAGCGTATGGCTCCTCTTCTGCAGACTCCACACCTTGTCTGATGGAAGAAGTTGTCTTCTGGAAACATTTTTTCTTAATTATGATTGCAGTAATTTTAATCACGCATAGCTGCTAGCTCTAGGGACTGACACCTTCCATTAATCTGAGTCACGATGAAGATCCTTTCTAGAGAGGCCATTATCTGCTCTGCTTGTTTAATCCATGCACGTCAGAGAAGGAAATGGTGGGACTGGGTGTCTTTTCACTTGTGTCAGACAAAACAAAGCATAATTTGGCCATCCTATAAAAAGCTCACTTAGGATGAGAAAGATTTCTAGTACAATTGAAAAGGGGGAAAAAAAGCCTAACTCCCAAATGTAGCTTTCTGCTTTCAAAAGGCATTGCTGTTGTTATCCCTTTTTATATGCTTACTAGAGCCAAGATTTTTGGAAATCAGTAACAACTCTGTAGACGCTATATGAAGACCCACATATAAAGATCTCAAATGAACCTGATTTTTTTCTGACTTTGGTAGTTTAAAGAGGCAGTGTAGAACTGTGTTGCTAAATGCTAACACCTGGGCTAAGCCTGTCTGTGTAGAGCTCACCTGTGTATTTTGAAAGGGCAGCGTGTACTCCAAGGAGCTTCCCTTTTGAGTCAGCAAATAAAACTGGGAGCAAGGAGAGGCTACGCAGAAGCTGAACAATTTGTATTTAGGTCCTATCAGTGTCTGTGATGACTCGTGATTCTAAGCAAGAAGGCTGAGATCCGTATCCATGTTCCCCACCCACCTGCTGAGGATGAGGGCACTCTGGAAATGTAAATTGCATGTGCTGTAAGGTCTCTGTGAGCAAGCACATACACCTACAAAACATGGTGAGAGCTTGGCACTCCTCTTTAATTGCTGCTTTACTGCAGTAAATCCAAAACATCCAGACCTGCTAGCACTGTGTGTTAGAGATGGGGTGCGGGACAGCTCAGTTCTTTCCGTGGCAACACTACTTTAGTTAATTGTGGAACAGGATTCTGATGTTGATTATTGCCTTGCAGAGGTGAATTTCTGCTCTGCCAGTTTGACAGTTTCTGCTTTCCTTTCCTGCAATCCAGGTGCTTCTGACTTGACGGCATTCAGTGACCCCAGAGTGGGGATTGACCGCTCCTTCTCCACGCTCCCTTCCATTTCTGATCCTCGGATGCACTACCCGGGAGCGTTCACCTACACGCCAACACCCGTCAGTTCGGGGATAGGGATCGGTATGTCTGCTATGTCCACGGCCACCAGATACCACACTTACCTCCCACCTCCGTATCCTGGTTCTTCTCAGGCCCAAGGCAGCCCGTTCCAGACCAGCTCACCTTCATACCACCTCTACTACGGAACCTCCGCTGGGTCCTATCAGTTCTCCATGATCTCAGGAGGAGACCGGTCCCCGCCACGCATCCACCCCCCTTGCACCAATGCTTCCACAGGATCGACACTCCTCAACCCCAACCTTCCCAACCAAAGCGATGTGGTTGAGGCGGAAGGGAGCCACAGCAACTCCCCAACCAACATGGGTACCACGGCAAGGCTAGAGGAAGCGGTTTGGAGGCCATACTGAATGCATTTTAAGTAGTCGTGGGCCAGGACTAACGTGCTTTCGATTTACCGATGTCCGTAGGTATCCCATAAACACCTGTCTTGCTTATGGGCCCTGCCATGTTCATACATCACTTCCAGAAGCAAACTCTCCAGAAGTCAGCGGTCCCAGGAGCAGTGGCGTGCGTTGGGCCAGCTGTGTGGCTGGTGAAGCCATGCCAGGCCAGCAAGGTACCCCCCAGGGGGCTGAGCTTCTGGAAAGGAGGACATTCAGGTTGGTGGCCTGTAGGTAGTGAGGGTGAGTAGGAAGATATCCAGGCTGTTTCCAGGCTTGTGGCTTTCAAACATACCCAGGTTTGAAGGTCTCCACAGCCCTAAAGAGAGTTTCAGTTCACTTCTGTTTTTAAGACTTAAGACCTAACAGAAACTTAACGAGTTTACTGCATCTTATGGACATATTAACTATAAGGAAGTATAGGAAGATTCCCAGAGGGAAACTGTGAACGCTTCTGTTTTAGCAATGCTGTGAATGAGAGGTTTTATATGTTGGACTTCAGATTTTCCTTTCTTTTTTTTTTTTTTTTTTTTAAACCACGTTGTGTATTCCAAAGAATATGGAATTTTTTATTGCTGGTTTTTTTTTTTTTTGGTTTGGGTTTGTTTATTTTTTTTAAGGATGCAACTCATCCTGCTTTGCATCTAATTTGTTTAATTTCTCTTGGCACCTTATAAATCGCAAAAAAAAAAGAGATTTTACTTTTTGTTGTTGTTTTAATCACGCTTGCTTCTTTCTTGCTTTGTCAACTGAAAGAATCAGCTCCTTTTTCAGTGAGTTAATTTAACTTTTTTTCTCTTGGACTTTTTTTTTTTTAATACAACGGCTACAGCCTTGGGTCATTTTCAACTACTGTACTACTTTGATGATATTTATGCTTGATATTTAGACTTTTCTTATTTGTCGATACTATTATTATTTAAATATGCCTATATTAAAAAGATCAGCAATTGCCTTTTTTGGTAGCAGCCAAAGTTAAATTTGTCACATTGAAAAAGGCTGGAATAACGATGGGTAAAGTGACCTCCTAATTACCTAGAAATATTGTTTACAATTATCTCCCTTTCATTTTACTCAGCTAGGTGAGCCCAGAGCCTCAGAGCCCCACTCCCACTGAAACAATTGAGGCATCAGAGTCTCCATGAAGGCACTGTGCCTTTCCCCACAGTGGAGTCATCTCTCCACACCCCTTCCTCGTTTTTCCTTCGTCACCAGTGGTGATGCTCAGGATCAGTACTCAGGAGGTACCTATATCATAAAGCAGTCTTTTGTATTCCCTCAACTACGTAAGTCCCCACAAAGCCCTGTTCTGTGCTGAGCTTCCCTTGACTTCCTGGTAGAGGTTTCATAGTCTTTCAAATCAAAAGCCAACACACAGTTAGCATAGCAGGAGTGAAGTGAAGAAGGCTCTGATATAATCAATGTGAGACTTGCTCCCAGCTCAGTGGAGCCAAGATTTCTGTGCAGTACAAGAGCCATGTTTGAATGTACTGGAAAAGAGATCAATTCGTGCATCACAAAATAGCTCAGACTGAACAGAGTCAAGTTCATCTGGAAAGCAGGCCAGCAAAGAAGGGGCCTTAATGGTTCTTCCATCACCATATATTGAGGGAAGAGGAAGGAGATTTAAAACCCATGCACAAACTATTTGGTCCTGTAGCAAATATGCACAGCTTGTACTAAGAGCATGTTAATACAGAGTCGTCATCATTGCCCATCGTTACAGCACAAACATATCAGATGTCACTGTAAAGTTTATGGCACTATTTTATCTGAGGGTTCGGTCTGAACGCAGCTGTTGTACTACTCATTAATTACAGACTGCTGATGTTGACAAGTGTGCGTTCCAAATGATCCGATTATTATTTAATGTACGTTTTAAATGAGTGAAACAATTGCAGGTCAACTCAGAGAGTATTTGAAAGCAGGACTTCAGATCAGTGTTTGATGTTTAAAAAAAAAAAATGAAAAGGATTCAAATTAAAAAGATCCTTGGCTGCAGGCAGCAGAACAGCTGGACTTATTTAAAACCATTTGTTTTTCAAGTTTTCTTTTTTTTTATATATGATTTTGCTTCTTTGTTTGAGTCAGATGCAGTAGCACTTTGGTATTGAAAAGTTACAAATTGAAGAACTCCCATTGTCAACAAGGTCATTTTTGTGCAGAAAATAGGGGGTGTTTCAAGAGATCTCAGCAAAAGTTCAAAATGGTTCTGCTAAAATATATACATGGCCTCGTGCTTTTATTTAGCATAATATAATTTATCATTTTCTAGAGTTTGCTCTGATCAAAAAAAGCAGAAAGCATCAAAACCAGTATCAGAACAGTTAAAAATGCATTTTGGAAGTATGGAGACCTTGCTGAACATGGAAATAGGGAGACCCTACCCTTACATAGTTGGAATCTCACCTCATCAGTAGCCTGAAAAAAAAGTCCTTCCTCACTAACAGTAGCTCTGTTGCAGAATCCATTTTACACATTCTCTCGCACTCGCCGTGCAGTTCAAATCCCCATTGACCACAGCTTTCATGTCTGCCTTGTGACTGGACCACCCAAGTGCATAGTACTGCGAGTGGGAACCCAAAGGTGAGGGTGAGGAACCGCAGAGGAGCCGCACGGGGCACAGCTGCTGATGGTTGGGTTACTCCAGCCCAGTGGCAGAGGTGAGGCTGCTGTGGTAAGGACTCTCCCACATCAGTCTCTCCCCACATCCACGACTGCTGTCCGCTGAAGCCTTTGCCTGTTTTAGCCCATAGTGTTGTACTATCCCCTTCTGAAACTAAATTGTCAGGGAGGGGAAGGTGAGCCCAGTGTGCCGGCCCAGTGTCAGGCCTAATGTTTCACGTTTCTTATGGCTACACATCTACTTTCTTCACACCTGGCCTGAAGTGGAAGTTTAATTTTACGCTCCCTGGTGTGATCGGTTTGAGAAAGTGCGGAGCTGGTCACAGCGCTAACCCCGTTTCTGAAACACAACCAGAACGTGGGCTTTCTCACCTCCTCACCCACCATCACTGCCAGCAACTCCTGAGTCGAACCTCTCTGTGCACGTCAAACATAGGACGACGCAGTGCTCCCCTTACAGAGGAACATGTAAGTTTATTATCCCTTGCAATTAGTCTGTTTAATCACCGTGAGCTACGGTGTATTCGCATAAATGCTTATGAGACACCACAGTTCACTCAAGTCTCTATTTTTGTAGCCATCCCCTGCCTCGCTCAGGACAGCAAAGCTCTCTGAGGCTGTAAAAACAACTCTTGTGTCATTCCTCTCATATCTAAACAGCACTTGGCAGGCAAAAGGAGGACAGCTAGGTAAAACACTTCCCCCATTTACCTGCCTCCAAATTATAGCGTATAAGTATATATTTTTATATATAATATATATATATTTATATAGTTTTATCATCCCAGTTGCTGAATGGAATAGCACTGTTGTGCTTCCCTTTGCAAGTCTCGGTCAGCACAGTGCCTTAGGCTCCGTCCCCTACCGACGTGCAGTAGTTGATGGCAGTCCCTGGTATCAGCTTGTGTGTTCCTCTCACAAGACACAGCTTGTTGTCCAGAGGCAGCTTCATCAAGCAGTTCCAAAGTAAACACAGGGCCGATCGCCTGTTTGCATTAAGACCCCTTACTTTGCTCTCAGCGTTTCTGCTCACTTCCAGAGTTCCCATTTGGCTGCCAGAGCAAAGTGAAGGAGCTTTAGTGCAAGAGGAGGCAGACGCAGGGAGCATCGTTGCTACTAAGGATTTTACTTGCAGAATTATGCCAAATAAACTTCTGGAAAGGAGAAAAACGGTTTCCTCCAAATGGCCCACAGTCTTTGTCAGAGTGTTCCGAATTGCCTGCACTCTTGAAACATTCATTACTGCTTTCTGGATGACCTTCTCCATTAATGTATTTGAAGATTCAGGATAAGTGGATCATTTTCAATTTGGGCAAAACACTTTCTTGTTTTCCTGCATCGTAACATTCTTGTGTTTTATTTTTGTTAACCTTGCTTGGTCAGTGCTGATCACTTGGCATTTTTCTCCTTGTCCTAAGAGGGTTGCATCAACAGAGTTACTTGTATTTATGTATGTAAATAGATTTCAAAAGCTTCACAGCAAAATATTTAGTGCTTGTAATTACTCCGCTTTTTTTTTTTTCTTCGTTTTTCTGTGTTTTTAATGAACTTACCTTTGTTTGCTTAAATACTCTAGTGAGACTTATTTCTTTCCAAATTAGTTATTTTAGGCTTCAAGATTAACTACATTTTATTCACTTTTGTAAACAGTTATAGCATGGTCTCTATTCAACACTCTTCACTTTTTTTTTTTTTTTTTGTGGTAGGGGAGAAATGAATGTGCAAAAATCTGTGGGTTATTTGTGGTATCCTGGGTATGACAGTTACACACTTTTCTTTCAAACACAAACTCAACTTTCAGTCTGAGGGGGTGGCATGGCAAGTCAGAGGGGAGGGCACAGTGGGAGACGCGCTCCTATCAGGACGGCATCAAAGTGTGTTCGTTCAGCATTTACTGGATCTGTTTACAAACCAGATGCTGCAGCATACTGGAACAGTCACATTTTCCTTTGACGCTGTCATGCTGAACATTTCCAGAAGGGGAAACTACCAGGTTCTGGAAGTTTGCTTTTTTGGTTTTTGATCACAGGGGATTTTTCTTCCGGGGGTGGGAAGGGGGGCTGCTGTTTTTTGGAACCAGATAGGAAAAGAGAATAGAGTAGATTTTTTTCCCCCACTACAGAAAGTCTCTAGATACCACGTCAGAGTAGACTCTTGTTGTACATACGGATGGCTGTGTCCAGCTCCACGGGAAAACTCATTACAACTAGCACGCAGAGCAGCTGGACTGCTGCGTTAGTTCTAATGAAGACTTTCTTTCTTTCTTTCTTTGTACCACAGTTTCCTCTGTAAATTCAATATCATAATTAGTGTGAATGACAAATAAAACGTTTGGCAAGTATGCACATTGGCCCGGTGCGTTCTTTTATCAGGGAGAAACCGACTGTCACAGGACAAATACCCATCGGAGAAGGATACTGAGAGTGTATCACTGACAACATCAGAAATACATTTCTGTGGTTTTTTTAAAAATCTATTTATTGCTTTTTTAACATTAAATTGATGTTTTTCTAATGCAGAATGACCCGTCTTGCTATCTAGTAGGACCATCAAAACAAGACTCAGATGAGACTTTGCATGTACAGAGGCTTGGTAATTGAATTGTATCTCCAACGTCTTGATTAAATTCTTGAATGGTCTAAAATCTCCTATATTTGTTATTTTTCTTCCTTCATTTTATGCTTCTTGGGCTGGATCCTCTTTGATATTGATGAGTTGAATCTTATTTTAGAAGCACCAAAACAGACAGTTTGAAGTCATGCTACTTTTGAGATACACTGTTGTTTTTTTTTCTCTCTCTTTAAATAAATAATGGAACAGTAGTGTTAATGAAACATTAATAAGGGAGAAATCAAGCTTTCAAATAGAGAAAAAGAAGAGTCAATAATGAAAGTTCAATCTGAAAGCCCCTGTATCTACACATAAAATCTAGAATTGGCCTGACAGAGTACATTGCATCGTACTGAAGAAGTTTTCAGTAGTCTACTTCTATACAATAATATATGTATGCAAAGATTACCTTTCATTTGTTTCTCTCAGTGAAAAATAAGCTGCAAAACACACTATTACAGGTATATTCTTTCTAACATCTCGTCAGGTAGCATTCCATCTCTGAAATGATAAGTCATATTATCATTTTAAAATTGGGATCAAGGGACTACAAGAAAACAGTTACTGAATTCCAAGCACTTAACTTTCTAACCTCTTTCTAACCTCTTCAGGCTCAGCTAACACATGCCTCTGACAAGGTTACTGCTCAGTTTGAGCACATGACATTTCTTTCTGGCACAATCCCACATTATCCTAACAGTATTGCAACTACATTTTTGCAAGGGTCTACCACAAAGACTTTTCTCCTTAGCCTCTGAAACCCAAGAGCACTTCTTCAGAGGTGGGTGGTCAAGCAGAGCACAGATTTATTTTGTTTTCTACTTTAACACAGCAGGAAGAGAAGCTACAAATAGTGACAGTCAAAACAAAAAACAAAATTTTTACGCCCAAGGGCAACTCAGCAGAAATATTTGTAGCTAGATTTTGAAGACTATAGGGCGGACATATGAGCAGAGTTTTCATTTCATATGGGAGTGGAAGGCAAAGGACTGCAGTGGCCACTTGGACATGATGCACAGATTCCACTATTCCCTTAGAGCAGACCAACGTTACCTGTTTTCCCCAGGGTGAGGGGAGGAAGCAGAGGCAGCTGCCTTCCCTGGACTCTCGGCTCTCTGAGGAGCTGCCCCTGGACATCCCTGTGAGGCAGGTGGCATGGCCATGCCTTCCTCTGGTAGCTGAGAAAGGCCAGCTCAGCCCCACCTCTAGCATTTTGAGGGGGAGGAAGAAGTAAGAGCAAAAAGGTGAGGAATGCAAAGGCTGGAGGCTGCTGTTTGTGAGAGGAGGAGCTGGCGGGGTGAACCCACACAGTTGTTGACTTGTTGTTCTACCCTTACACCCTGACTGACAGCTTTTGATGGGCTTTAATTATAAAGGCCATTGTCATGGGTGTTCTCTGCACTGCTTTGTTTGACTTGTGCAATGAGGAAACCCCTCCCTCTGGAGTCAGGCTTCAGAACTAAAGCAGCTTATTAAATAATATCCGCCTGAAAGGCACTGTACGACTCAACACAGCTGTCCTGGAAAGACAACACAGGTGTGTTACCTTTGGTTTACATGGCTTTTTTCCCTTTTCAGTGGCTTGTCACACAAGACAACAGGCTTGGATTAGTGGTGAGTGTACTGTGCCCAGAAGTTGTACTATTTTTCTGAGCAGGCACAGAAATCCTGGTATTGGTGCTATGTGTGCGGTCACGGAACTGACTGTAAACTGCATTAGCTGCTCTGAGACAGATCTTGTTCACAGCATTCATAGCTTATAAGCCTATCAGCAGTGCCACTGCTACAATGCTGGAAGACCTTGTAATGACACTGTGGTTTCCAGACATCACTGAAGTATGACTCAGTCCAGAACTGGGCCAAAAATATTATTTTATGGTGTCCCACCATATTTTTACATCACGGGGTATTTGCAGGTCTGTAAGATGCTTTAGGAGCATGTCTCCTTAGGCAACCCCCCAGTTGCAGGAAAACAGCACCTTTCATTCCTGTTTAACTCTGGTGAGGACTCACATTAACTTTGCCACCGGGATGCCCTGTGGAGCAGAAATCCTAATGTGGACAGTCTTTCAGAGAAGGAATGTCCAAACTGCAGCTCATCATAGCTCTCGCCTGCTGGGGGAGGGAGACTCTGTACAGATAAAAGCATGTTTAACTCTGAGAGAAGGAAAATAAAGGCTCAGAACCTGCAGGTCTTCATTGGAATGTCTAGCTACTGAATTAGGAAGCTTGTTTTCTGGTTTTAAGTTACAGGGACACCTAGAAGTCTCCCAGACTGGATTAGTCAGCACGAGTCACTGTCTGGGAATTGTTTGGGTTTGTGAGAGGAGGATAAAACAATTTAGAAAGAAAATCTAATACACAGATTTAAGACATAGCCTGCTTGCAGAGCAGAGAGGGGGTTAGGTCTGATCTGTGGACTTCATAAACACTGGTTCCGAAGGCTAGGGCGGCTGTCAGAAGATAGAGACCTGTTCCCTGCTGATGAGGAATTGTTTCCCACAGCATGTAAAAAATGCCTCTGGCTGTTTTACTTTCAAATGCCCCAAATACAGGAACATCTGCAGCTCTTCTATGGAAGCTTAGAGGCAATCCTACTACATCCTTCATGCCTCGCTCTGCTGCTGCTGCACTTGACCCATCCTGCAAGCTACACCCCAGGAAGCCTGCACTTCATTCCCTAGGGAGTTCTGAGGTGCCTGTGCTTCATTCCCTAGGGAGCTCTGAGGTCTGGGTGCACTTCATGGTGCTTATGCCAGCCAGCTGCATATTGCCATTGCCACTGTATTCTCAAATCAGACCCCCTCAGAGCCAAGACCCAACAATTCAAAATGCAGCTCCAGTCTCTGTGTGCAGGGACATCCCAGGTACAAGTGTACAGGTTTCTTGGCCCCCCGAGCTCAGCAGGCAGAAGCATGAGGGATGCTAGAACCCACAGAATCATAAAATTATTAAGGTTGGAAAAGACCTCTGAGATCATCAGATCCAACCATCAGCCCCCCCCCCCCCCCATGCCCATTGACCACATCCCTCAGTGTCACATCCACACAGCTCTTGAATATCTCCAGGGACAGTGGGCAGCCTGTGCCACTGCCTCACTGCTCTTTCTGAGTATCCGTCCCACAGAGCACAGCCCAGCTACTTCAGGGACCTCTAACACCAACAACTTCTCGGCCTTTTCTTATGGCCTTCTTTAAAGGATCCCAGCAGTTCAACAGCACTATGCATCAGGTGAGTACTGTATTCACAAAGGCATGGAAGTCCTTCAAAATTTGCTGAAAATCAGCTGATCTTCACTGACATAGTAAAATTTGTTTGTGAAGGCTCTGTGGCAAACTTCACTCTTCCTCTTCCAAAAGTCTACGATAAAGAATTGCTCTGAGTCAAGACAACATGGATTATTTTACATGGGGAATGTGTCCTACTTTGCTTTCCCTATGTAAAAGAGCAGCAAAATTTGCAGAGGGGGGGAAGAAGGCATTATTACTGAGCAACTGTTCTTCTCCCTTTCTTTTTCTTTTCCACTCCCTCCTCACAGCATCATGCATCCATGATCTCTCTCCAGCCTTCTGCAGGACTCAGAGCTCAGTGATGTCAGTTCAGTACATATAACTTGGGAAGGGATGGGAGATGGGGGGAGGGAAAAAAAAATAAAAAATTTGCCTGTCTGTTGAGCACAGACAGGCAAATGCCAGCATGTCCATCCCATGGGCATTATGATTTGGGGGCTGGATGAGAGGAAGAGTTCTTCTGTTTTGTAACAGAAAGGCACACTTCCAAGAGTTTCAGCACACAGCAAAAAATCTGTCCGTGTGGTCTTGAAATAATGTTCAGTTGTATCCTTTTGAAAATACTGAAACTGAAATGATCCTAGTTGCCAAAGGGCTGCAGACTGCCAGCTTAGCTGGGAGTCCTGGGCCGTGGGAAGCAGGCAGCACTGCTGGTGATACGGTTGGGGTGAGTCAGTGTGCTGCACCACAGTTTATCAGAAGTATTTCAAACAAGCTCCAGGTATGAGTGGTCAACAGCAAGCTCATCCTACACAGGCATTTTAGCTATTGCTCACTGCTGTTAGGACTGTGCCTGTGATCTCATTTGGATGGCCTTGCAAACTTGAGTCCAAGAGTGCTGAAGTGGCAGATATTTTGCCTTGTATCCCTCTCTTTCCAAATGTGATCTCTTTGAAGTTAGTAAGGCTGTTTTGTAATGCTCTGTATATTTTCTGACCTCCCTGGGTCTTTAAGCATATCACCTACTGGAAAATATTTGTGTTCCATCTCACTGTGCTGTAGCCGTTTGACATTTTCTGCTTTCTGAAGTCTTACAAGTACATTAATTCTCCTTAAGACATCAACTTTTGGGGTTGCACCTCTCTTAGTTCTCACAAGGCTCAAGTTAATAAACAAGGAGTAAATCCTGCAAAGCAGATGTGCATTCTACCCACGAACAGAACACAGGCAACTTTAAAGGGTGGCAGGCTGTCCTGTTTCAAGGGACTGGTATTTAGCTTCAGCTGCTGTCTCCAGGACAAACATCTGCCACTGTTATTCCTCATCCCTAAAGAGGTGGCTTCTTCTCCTTTGCTTGCACTGCTTCCTCAAGAAAGGTTAAGTCCGTGGCTGTGAACAGAGGTCAGAAAATGAGGAGATAATTAAAAAGAAGAAAAATTATGAAAATCACAAAGCATGACTTGAAAGATAAAACTACAGGTATGTACCCAGTTTACAAAACAT